CACCCGATCCATTAATACTATCCTGGTGCCGGAACGTGACAGCCGATCCATTAATACTATCCTGGTGCCGGAACGTGACACCCGATCCATTAATACTATCCTGGTGCCGGAACGTGACACCCGATCCATTAATACTATCCTGGTGCCGGAACGTGACACCCGATCCCCTAACCTCATTTTTTTAGTTCATTAAGCCTTCTTTTATACCAAGGCATCATCATTAACAAAGAGGTTTTTAAAGGTTTAAGATTCAACAGGCTCATCATGCTTATTTTATCACAATTATATAATCACATCATGCAAGCACACAATTAAGCATATAGAAGGGTTTACAATACTACCCAATGCACATCATTCGCTATTAAGAGTTTACTATGAAATAGCATAAACCATAACCTACCTCCACCGAAGAATTGAAGTCCAGAAATCTACTTTTCCAATGCTTTGCTTTCTTCTTTGTTTCTCCCTCTCTCGTTCGTTCGTCCCCTCTTTCTCCTTTTTTTCTGATTTTTCCTTATTCAACCTCTTTTTCTTTTACCCTAATTACCATATTATTAAGTATAAAAGATGACCAAAGTAACCCACTAATTAATCCAAGGTTATCTCCTTTAACCCCCAAGTAATTGAATTATTAACATTAAACCCCTAATTTTATAATTATAAGCAGAAATAGTCCAAAACGCCCCTTAAAACTTTTAACAGAAATCCGACCCAGTCAGGGTTACGCAGTCTGTGATGGGCCGTCGTGCCTGCGACGGTCCGTCCTGCTGAGTCGTCACAGAGTTCAGAGACTGAATTTTACTAAAGGGCCTGTGACGGTCCGTCCTGCCATGTCGTCGCGAAGTTCAGAGAGTTGTTCTCAGTACCCAATTTTTCAGAATTCTAAGTGTTTTGGAACGAGACACCCTCGACGGTCCGTCGTGCCCATGACGGTCCGTCGTGGGATCCGTCGACTCAGACAGTTATTACTAGAAATAAACTCTACTGCTCAAAACGACTAACAGGTCGGTACATTTTTTCATTCTTACCTAATCTAATTAGTTTATTTTTTTCTTTTTTATGAAGTGAATTTTCATTTCATTTTTTATGATAATTGTATAAGATTTTATTTTATTATATATTTTTTTCTATTCTATGCTATTTATTAATATTATAATAAGTAGTTGTTTGTATTTAATTTTTTGTTTATAGAATCAAGATATTGGTGAAGTCGCAAAAATTCTTTTTAAGGAAAAAGTTAATAAAGTTGTTATTTTTAATTATCATTTCCTTAGAAATGTATTAAAAAAGTAGATAAATAAAATATTTATTAAATTTCACCCAACTTAAATGTCAGGAATAAAAAATATTATATATATTAACAAACGAATTATGTTTTTATGTAGATGTTTATGAATAATTTTCATACTTTTATTAAAGTATGGAAGTGTAAAATTTGAAACGTTAATTAAAAAAGAAATCAAATAAAAAAAAAGTAAAAGATAGGGAGAACGTCATAAAGGAAAAGCGAGAAGAGGAGTTTGGGTCATTCAATTATCCACTTGTCGAAGAATAACTGAAGCCTTTGTACAAATTTTGTCTATCTCATTATATTTAAGTAAATTTTTTTAAATGTCAATATTTTAATATTTAAAATGACTCATTAGCAACACTTTTCATATTTAGTAAAAATGTTAAAATTTTAATTTATTATGTATCTTATTTATGTTTTTATTATTTGTTTTTATTTAAAGAGTACAACTATTTAATAACAAAAGAGAGAAAATCAAGGAATAGAATATTTCAAAAAAATAAAGATCACTTAATTTTCTCATCAGTTATATTTTTCAAATAAAATTCAAATTTTGTTCTTTTATTTCTCCAGAATCTCAATCTTTTTTTTATTAGTTTGTATTCATTCCAAGATATGCCAAATGATAATTATTTAAGAAACATATTTGTAGTCATATATTTGTTTCATGTGTATTTATTTGTTTCTTCAAAAATCTTGTATTTTGTATTCATTTCAATACGTATTTTATTTGTATTTCTATTTATTATTGTTTTTATTTAGAATATTATATGATAATATATAAAATTCAAAAAAATAGTATGATGAAAAAGTGAGATAAATTTTTTTTTTAGAAAAGGAACAAATCACTTAAAATTCTCATCATTAAAACTTCAAAAAAAAATTCCTTTTTCATTTTTGTTTTCATTATAATTGTATACCAATATTTTTTACATTTTATGTGCGTGCTCACTTTACCATTCAAATCAAAATTGATTTTTTCTTTCAAACTACAAATTATATTTCGGTGATCAAAATTGCATTACTTGATATATATATATATATATATACACACACACACATATACATATACATATCTCAATATATATGAATATGATTTATGAGCAAGATTTTTTTTTTGGGGGGGAGGGGAATATCATACTTGGTTATAAATAATAAATTTGTTGAGGAAGGATATAATATTGTAAAAAATAAATAAAAATTGACTATGAAAGAAATAAGAACCAATATTCTGGAAAACAGATAGCATACATAATAAAATAATATAATCAGAATACAATATTCTAAAAAAAATACAAAATTAACTGTTGAAAAAAAGATATTTAAGAAATACAAATTCATATGAGATATCATACATAGTGGAAGTGATATAATCAGAATACAATATTCTAAAAAAATACAAATTGACTGTTAAAAATCGAATACATCTATTCTTAATAAATACAAATTCATATGAGATACGTATTTGAATCACTACAAATAAAAAATATATATAATGTTCTTAATAAAAATACAAGTGATGAGTAAAATAAAAATAATTGACAAACAAAAGTTAATATGAATATTATTCTGATATGAATACAATTTCGCAACCTTGTTCTTTGACTCTCTCTTTCTTCTTCGTTTGCTATGTTCCTTTTTTCCAATTCTTTTCACCAAATTCAAATCTGAATTTGTGTTTATTTGTGAATTAATAACTCTAAAGAAAAATTCGAAATTATTAAATATGAATATACAAAAAAAATCAAACAATATATTATGTATGAATGTTTATGTAGATTAATACAAATTATAATCTACTAAATCTCAAATATGAAAATAAAATCTTAAAAATTAATGTTTCAAATACTAAAATTACGAAATGCATAAATATTTAATGACTATGTTAACAAACTCATATAAAAATCGAAAAAATGACGAAAAATCTGTAATAAATACAATTCAAAATTCAACATAATTTTTTATTTCGAAAACAAAATCTCATGAAATGTCACGACCCAAAACGAGTCGTGAGTGGCATCCACACTTAACTACCTGGGTGGACGAACCAAGAAATTCAAATCCCAACATGTACCAAAAATTCAACTATAAATAATATAAATAATGCGGAAGCTCCAAAAGATACTAAGCAAGCAATTTAAATAAGTTTCTAAAGTTTAATACTTATCATCCCAAAATCTGATAGTCATCACATCAAGGACATCTAATCTCCAATACTAAGTCTAAGAATATCAAATACACTAAAATAAAAGAATAAAATGGTATGTGTCCGAAAGTATAGGACATCATGTCATGACCGAGAGAATCCAACACGAGCTTGAATTGTTAGCTCACCCTGGAACTTGATATGCGGAAGTTTGGTTAGAACTGAGGGAAATTAGAAGTCATAGGTACACTTGCTGCATTTCATAAAAGGAAAACAAAGAAGAAAACAAGTAGGGCGCAGTATGAGGCAACATATACTGAGTAAGTATCATCGGTCAACCCAAAATAGTAACTAATATACAAAAAATAATAGTATGAACTCAACTATAGCACTTAACATTTGATAAGCAACAAACAACATCAACAAGTGTCAATAACAATAAAGTAAGCACGTATTAAGTCAACGGCATCAAGATCACACATGAGGACTCATGCCTCCAAACCAAACCATTTTGGAAGTTGAGTTCTTTGAGATTGAGTATCTTTCATTAATTCAACATATTTTTCCTTTAATATTATCGTGTCGGAACGTGACACTTCGATCCCAGAATATCGTGTCAGAACGTGACACTGCGATACAAGAATACCGTGTCGGAATGTGACACTCCGATCCAATAATATCATTAGTTTATCATTTAGTATCACCACTTCTCCAGTCGTTAATAATATTTCATCGAGCTTTCTTTATTCAAGGCATCACTTTGATAGAGATGGTTTAAGATTATACATTCCACGGTTTCGGGATTTCAGACCAATTACAAAACACACGACCAAGCCACACAATCACACAATCAAGTAAATAGAAAACTTCACAATATTATTCAATATTAAGAGTTTACTATGAAATAGCATAAACCATAACCTACCTCCATCGAAGAATCGAAGTCAACATGCTACTTCTCCAACACTTTTCCTTTCCTCAATGTCTCCGAGCCTTTTCCATCTATCAAGTATATGTACATAATTTTGTAAGTTAATGAGTCTACAGACACCCCTATTACTATATGTCTAGCCTAAACTCAAAAATTATCAAGCACAATTCTATGTTCAAGTTCTTAACATCTTAAGGTCAATTACTATGTCAAATTTCCTATGTCTTAGATTAAAGCCTAGGGTTAAGTCTTAACCTCCTAATAACATAACCTTAATAGTATTCAAGTACCATAATATACCTAATATTTAATTACCTATTTCAATGTAACAAAACTTAATTTATAATATGATAACTGTAAGAACACTTAAGGGTTGAAATCATAGATTTAAATTTTACGGTAATCAACAATTGTCAAACTCGTATTCCATGCATCCTGTACAATTCTATAAGGTATTCCCAGCAATCACTACCACCTCATTGGTCATAATCATTATGAACTAAGAATGGCATGAAGAATTTGTCATTAGTTCCTAATTATAGTTATTATTAGCTGTAGTAAAATTTCAACAATTATATACCTAGCTCCTCAATCCATCTTAGCATTTATCAATATTATTATACATATATTTTCTATCCTAATTTTCCGCAAAAAACCAATTGAAAATTTAGGCCACACATATGGCCGTATAACGACAAATATATATATGAAATCTAAACATACTAAATATTAACCTACTAATGAAATAATCAAATCTCCCCACCATCACACAATTAATGTTTTCCATATGTATACCTCTGCATTAACAAATTGCATCACGATGAACATTAAGATTTGAAGACGAGTTTTACCTTGATTAATTAAGACTTGCGGCTCCTCATGTCGTCTTCAGGTAAGTCTTACTCTTAACTTGATTTTTAATTTCTGAGCATTAATGCCCTAATTGTTATATGTAACTAATTATAAAAGTGATAAAAGGAATCTACTATTAATTATAATGTTATCTTCTTTAACCCTCAACTATATAAGTTATTAAAACTATCCCATTATTTTTATAATTATAATTACAAATAATCAAAAATACCCATTTAGAATCTATAGAGAATTATTTTATGAAATAAAATGCTCTATTGCTCAAATTGAACAAATGGGTCGTTACATGAAATCTCACAAAATAAATGATGATTTCGAAAATACCTTTATGTATTGAGAGATTTCTTTAATTAATCGATAGATCTGAACAAATTGGTGTGAACTTGAATAATTAGTTCTTCTTCAACAATGAGAGAGAATAATGGTGAAAATGGTAAAAGAGAAAAAAAATTGAAAATCTTAAAGATGGAATAAATTTTATTGTATTAAAGTCTAGAAGAAAACTAAATGGGTAGTGAATATATTTAATGTTGTATTGTTTTGAAAAATAAATAATAATATTTGGATATAAATTATTTTTAAAATATTAATATTTTGAACAAATATTTTAAAGTGTAGATGTTTTTACTAATTAAGTTAGGAATTGTGACTATTTTACTAATTTTTTCTTATATTTGTGTCTTATTCATAATGAAATTTCTCAACTTCATCTATTCAAATATCTTCTCTTTGCAAATGAAATTTGCGACCAAGAACTCCAAGTAAAATTAAGCAAATCTTAATTGTTAACAATTCAAACTTATTTTTTTAATATTGTGATCTCAGTACTCAAATCAAATATTTCATTTGTGCTAATTTATGTGACTTAGTTTTTTAGTCGATCCCAAAAAGAGTGATATATTTTTATATTAAATTACAATTTAACTGTAAAATAGCTATTTTACCTTTAATAAAATGATTTACATTCACACATATTTCTATCACTAGTTCTGAACCCCAAATTTTAAAAATAATCCTTTCTTTCTATGTTGAATTATACTATCTCAGATAAAATAAAACGGATAGCAGAGTGCAACTTGCTTGTGAAACTATTAAAACATTTGATGAGTTTGACCGAGTCTATCGTATTTCACATATAATCTGTTTCATATTAACTTATATTCACTAACAGTGGACAAAAAGAATTACACCATCACCTAATTTTAAAAATACTTATTTCTTTTAATTTAATTATCATATTTTCATATTTAAAGAATAATGATTCTTTTAGCTTCTCTCTTTTTAAAGACGCTCTATAAATTTAAGATTGTTTTGAAATAACGTTCAAATATTTTTTATACTATCGACTTTGAGTATTACTTAAATAAATTGGAATATATATGAATGTATATGGATCAAAGTTTAGTTTCAATTAATTTTTGTATTATCGATATAATGAACTAAGAAGAGAAAGTTGAAGCAATGGAAGCATCTATCCAAAAACTTTTTCATGTTAGAAAGAAGACTTAATAAGTTATTAATAATTTTTTTTATGAAATCAATTAGTCTTGATTTTTTTTTTGAAAAAAAAGTAAAAAGTTACCATTGATGATTGTCTCAAATTACTTCAAGGGTGTTGATGGGGAATAAGGTAAAAATAATGAGCACAATAAAACACTGCAAAAATCTTCTTTTCTTTAGCAACCAAGAAGAATTCTAAACAAACTCATACAATTAATTTAGAATTCAAGTTCTAATATAATACTTTTATTATTATTATTATTGTTATTATTATTATTTAAATATTAATAATATCTAATATATTTTAAAAATAAGTATTTCTAAAATGAGCTGATGGTGTAATTTATTTTATCTACTATCAGTGGATAAAAGTTAATCTCGTATGCTATTGCTACATCTTCCGCAACCTACATGTAAACATACTAATTAATATGACATTAGATGTATTTTTCTTTTATAAAATAAAAATTTAGCATACCAAATTAAAAATAATAAACAAAAGAATCAATTCATACTTGATGCATATCATCAAACGCCTTTGCTGCATCAAAGTTCTTTTCTTATCATTTATAATTTTCCTTTTCGATATTAAATTTAGTTTAAAATATTAAATTAATGTAATCTAATTTAATTTTAAAAATTAATTAAATTAATTTTCGAAAAATATAATATGATAATAATAATGAAAAAATTAGCAAACTAGTCAAATAACCTAACTAAATTTGTAAAAACCTCCATGCGTTATAAATATAAGTAAAAATGTCAAAATATTATTATTTTTTTTAAAAATGTGTATCCTAATTTACTTCCTATTTTATCTCACCTTAATTACACATTTTTCAAATAATTCTCTCTCATATATTTAAAAAAAGGATTTCATCTTCCAATTCTTTTACATTTCAAAGACCGACTCTCTTCTTCCTTCATTTTTTTGATTTTTTTTTCTTTCAGAAATTGGAAAAAGTTACTTCTGAAAGAATACAATGTTGTGTAGACATTGTTGACATTTACATTCTGAAAAATATTTAATGTCATGTAGACATTCTTGGAAAAAGTTACTTCTGAAAAAATAATTCTGAATAAAACTGTTATGTTTTATTGTTGATTTATTGTAGATTCTCTAAAATGTACACATTCATGACATTTAGTTTCTCCTTAAAGAATACTAATTAAATTTTGATTGAAAATATAATGAGTTGTACCTGATGTATTGAACTTGTGTCATTTCTAATGGGGTGATCCCTATTAATTTATATTAGTGGTACAATAAAAACTGACACCGTTTGAGAACAAAATATTCAAAAAATAGAATTACAATTAAGATTTAGAATACAAAATAAAAAAAAGAGATTACAATTCATAACTAAACTACAATCTTACTTCTCTTTTACATGAATTTGCCTGCATAGATTTTGATTTTATTCAAAATATATATATATATATATATATATATATATATATATATATATATAAAACTGTCCTAATAAGCCGAGAAGTGAGGGTGATGATGAAGGACACTATGTTGATCAACTATGGAGAGTAGATACTCGTGTAAGATAATGACATGTGCAAGTTGTTTATATGAGAAACATTTTGCACATGTCATTATCTTACACAAGTATCTACTCTCCATTGTTGATCATGTGAGATTTAGGAACTTTTTCCAACCTATGTTTAAAATGGTTTCAAGAAATATGATAAAAAATGACATACTGAAATTTTTTCACAATTTGAAATAAAAAATGCTAATTTGTTGGATAAAGTCACAACTAGAGTTGCAATAACAACTGATATGTGGACTTCAAATAGCAACAAAAAAGGATTCATGGTCATTTCTGGACATTTTATTGATGATTCATGGTGTACTCTAAGTCATATTTTTAGGTTTGTTATGTTCTCGCCACACATGATAAAGATGTGTTATGTAGTGCTTTAATTGGTTAATTGTTTTTTTTACGCTAATCTTGAACGGAGAATATCAACTATGACAGTTGATAATTCTACTACTAACAATGCAATGATGAGAACCTTATTGGATGAGAAACTTAATAAAAGAGATATGTTATTGGATATGACTGAGTGTTTCATGTACATTATACCGCACACATCTTAAATCTGATTGTCCAAGAAGGGTTAAAGGTGATGAGACTCAATATCCCACTTTTAGTCAATACTCTACAAAAGTTTATGAAATCAAGATGGATTTGGAAGGTTAGGGAAAAGGCTTAATCCTTTAGTTAGCTCTATGTGTTGGGTTTTGATTTTGCCCTAAATTTCTTACCATAAATAGGTTTTCCTTTTAGGAAAAGGTTTTGGATTGGCTAATCCTTTTTTTAGTAGGAAAAGGTTTAGGACTCTATAAATAAAGACATGTTCCTTCTAACTTAATTAGCAATTACAATGTAGTCTCAAGGAGTTTGAGAGTTTTGGCTAGGGGGAGAATTTATGGGTCACAAGCTTGATATGTTATCACTTGTGTGAACCTCCCATGTATTTCGAGTGAATTGGTTGAGGTTGTTTTCCTCTGTATTTTGTACTCTCATATTTATAGTGGATCCGAACCACGTTCAATCTTTGTGTCTTTTGGTATATTTCTCATTGTCTTCTTACTCGTGGTCTTTCGAGGTTTGCTTTGCTAGCTTCCGCATAAACACCTGCGTATTTTTGGTCCTAACACTATGGCGTCTACATTATTGAAATTTTAAAACTATTGGGATGAAGTGCATGTGATGATGGGTATAGCTGCAATCTTTGATCCAAGATATAAGATGAAGTTGGTAGATGACTCGTGATCTCTTAGCCATTATTGTGTCTACTGTTGCTTAGGAATCAACATTTAACACTAGTGGGAGGTTGATTAGTCCGCATCGCAGTAGATTGCATTCTAATAATTTGGAAGTTTTAATGTGTTTTTCGCACATGGTTAAGGAATGAACTAAATGATATGCAATTTTTTCATTGTTATCTTAATAGTTATTCAATTCTTATAAGTATTATAATTTTCTTTTGAGGTTTCACTTCAACCATAATAAAGTGTCATGTCCAAGGTTGATTGATGAAGAGGAAGAGATGAAGTTCAGTTGCACGCCCAATGCTGATTGATGAAGAGGAAAATGTGGAGTCCAGATAATGATAGGAAAGAAGAATAACTAATTGCTACAATGAAAGGAAATTGACAGCTTTCAATCATATTCTGATACAATTTGACCCTTTAGACCAGTACTGTCGCGTTGCATCCTATAAATTAAAGGTGAATGAATGTATGACCAGGCATCATTAAGGGGGACAACAATAGATAAAAAAGTTATACATGAATTTTCGTCGTAGCTCTCACCATGGGGCAACTAGTGAAAGAGTAATATATTAAAGGCTATAGGGGGTGTAACTTCTCTTGCTTTGGACATTTGGTTGAAATTTTCTAGTGATACGAGCTGCTCAATATTGACATAAAGAAAAAAAATTTGTGTTTTTTATTGGTTCTTTTTCATTTTGTAGCAAAACTTTTAGAATTTTTTGTTTGCTTAATTCATACATCGCTTTTTAGAAATTACTGTCATTGCACAATCCTATTATTATGTAGATAAGGGCCATCTGGAAACTCTTTGGCAATAGAATAATAAATAGTGATTTGGAAGCATTTTACTAGTGCTTTACTGGTGTTAAAAAATGAGTACTTTTCTAGTGAATTTCAAGATGTGCGGCAGTAAAATTTTGATAGATATATCTGCATGTATAATGTCCCAATTGTTTTTGTAAATGGGGTAGGGTGCGGAAGGGCACAACGGGGAGGGGTGGGATGGGGGGGAGGGCAGCGCAATTTATTTGAAACATATTAAATGGGGCAGGGTAGGGCGGATCAAAATGTTAATAGGTCAAGACTTCCCCCTCCCTAACCCACCCCATTTACATCCCTAAGCAGTAACTTTGCCGTGATCGACTTTGTTTTCTGTCGATCTTGATTTTTTGACATCTATTATTATTTTTAATCAAGATCTAGTGGGTTTTGTTCAACAAAACATCATCTAAGAAAGACACATATTTTCAGCTAGAGAAATTGGTTATTGTTTCGTTCTCTCTTCCACCAATATCTGGAGAAAGTCAATAAATTGTTATCGGGTGCTTCCGATTAGTATTTATATTTTTTGGTCCATATTTATTATGCAGTTTGCGTCTTCTTGAAGTTTTAGCCAGGATTTGGGGAAGTACAAAGTTTTGTTCCATTTGTCAAAGATGTGCATTTGACCTTTATTACATCCAGGGGTTGTTTGATCTCTACTTTGAAATTTTTAATACTAAATTGGTCTCTTTCAAAAAAATATTTGTTGGGGATAAATGGTGCTACTACTTCACTAATAGAATTACCAATAAGAGAATAAGTTTAGCTAGTACTAATCGTTCATGTTTTGATAAAATGATTTCGATTCGAACATATGATTCACAATAGTTGATTGGTTTACTTGTATCAGTGTTGAACTTGGATCTCTACTTAAGTCAATCTTATCTAATACTCAACCATTTGTATCTCTAGCCTAATTTTTTACATTAGGTGCCAGTTGCATTTTTTGAGTTTGAGGCATGACAAACTTGGTATCAAAGCAATATCGTATCCTAGATAGTCACTAAGCTATGTCAAGTACAATCTTGTTTATAAATATGTCGTGGACCACATTCTATACGCATGAAGCTTCATACATTATTTCAAAAAAGTTAACCTTTCTTTCGCTTATATCGTGATATAGAGCTGAGTCATAAGGATCGAGCTCTTTGGATTACAAATGTTATTGAACTTGCATTATAGCTGCACTTAGTGCAGGCAGAGTGAGCCCATATTTTGGTAACCCAACCAATCCATTCATATTTAATGGGTTGGGTGAGTAACTTTTTTCATGAGTAAAATATGGGTTGATACCCATATTCAACCCATAAAAATATGGATAAAATATGGATTAGCCATATGAATTACGCTTTAACTTTTATTCACTCAAAATTCATAATTACTAAATATATTGTAACTTCTCTTCCTTTTCTGTTCTTCTATAAAATTAATTATTTTTCTCTATAATTTAAAATGTGAAATCTTTGGCCCTCCAAAAATATCTATTTTAAATGTACATTTCTTTTGTTAATTTATAATTATATATTTTTTATTTTTTAATTTTATATTGAATAATAAATAATATTTTAAAATAAACAAATCATGTAATAATATTGACATTGCTTAAAGTGCATTAAACATGTCGTTAGGACTCCATAACATACTATTCTTATAACCAAGAGGTTTATATAAAAATATACAGTCCATTCAAGGGTCAAAAGGGTTCAAGACAGAGGGTCAGATCAGTAATAGGGTCATATGTTTTACTACGTTCTGCAGAGAGAGGGCACAATATTCCTCAAAGGGGGAGCATTGAGTTCTGGAAGTGGGAAGAATCACATTTATGCATTGATAGGTATACTGGCCTTTTTTTTCTCTCGTTGTATTTATTCCTTGTTAGACTCAGACTATGTATTGTCGTATATTACTTTATTTATTGTTGAAAAGGTTTTTGTAGTACCACAGTCATTGCAATGACCTTTTGTTGTATCTATTCTAGTTGACGACTCAATTATTGCCAAGATAGTTTACCGAAGTTGTATAGTAGAGATTGTTGGTTGCTAGACCCCAATAAACTTGATAGAATTAGAGATGCTATACTTTGATTTTATTATGAGCATGGATTAATTGATATTTTTTACTTCAATATCTATCGCGGTGGTTGTTCCCACTTTGTTTCAACCTTATGTTAAATAATTATAATTTTATATAACATGGATCAAAAGGAAAGAAAAAACTTAAGAACAAGTCAAATGATGAATTTCAACTCATTAATTAGCAATTTTATTTGTAGCCGCCATTGCCTATTTTTCTAAAGTAAGAATTTGTGGGATAAATATGATGTGCTAGTCCCTAGTTATGGATGAGTACCATCTTTGAACTTCCCTTTTTAACATAAAATGCATATTTAAAGTCAACTTTAACCAAAGATACTACTTAATCAATTCAAAGTTCTGCCAAACTTTAAGAAATTTAACAATCTTATTTTGTCCCAGTGTTCATTTATTTTTGTTTACAAAAAAACAGATTTTTACTTACAAATTGAAAAAATAATAATTATAAACTAAACTAAAATCACATACAATTGAAGAATTTAAAGAGAGCTTACTGCTTCTATATTAAACCAAAACTTTCAGCGTAACACAAATAATAATTTCAACATAAACCAATTTAAATTCGCTAACAAATCATATACTAAAAGAGTAAAAATTGACCTTGAACAATATGACATGGAATAAAAATGTCTTCGATTAATAGTTTGGTCTAAAAATGCTTCTATAATCAATAGTTTGGTCCAAAGTCACTTGTTCCGAATAACTTGGTCCAAAAATACCCTATTATTATTTAATGACTCAAAAAAATCTGTTTATGATTATTTTCTTTTTAAGCATATTTTATTTCTAAAAAAATATTATTTTTGAAAAATTATCCTTGTTTATTTTAGTAAATTTTGTATATAGTATTATATGTAGTATTATTATCAAGTTATGGCATTAGAGTTTCAATTTCATTTTGTAGCATTTAATATCTCACTCTATGTCATTTTATAAGTAATTATATTGTTAACCATAATTTATTAAAAATAGTTGTTATTAAAAATTAATTAAAAATTAAGTAGATAAAGTTATAATGAGTAATTAATTTTAATGATTAAGAATTTATGACAATATAAATTAAGTGACTTTTATCAGTCATAATTATTGCATTTATTCAATGTTGCACGCCTGAGAATTTGAAGTAACTTTTATTGAGTTAAATTAAAGGTAGATAAATTATTAGCATTACTTTTGTTTCTTTATTTGTTGCTACATAATGCAGGTAGCACATTTTTAAATATGAATAGTTGCACTTTTTTAGGAAGTTCAATTAAAGTTAAATATATGATTAGCACATTTTTAGGGATATTAAACATTTTCTTGCCTTAAATATCACTAGTTAGTTAAAATAAAATTATTTTTTTGAATTAATTTCTTAAAAAACTCAACCAGATAATAACAAATCTTTTATGATTTTCAGAATACTTTGAGATTGTCATTTTCAAACATATTTAGATCAACGTTACAAGTAGTCTTCTTTCCAAAATTTCACGATTATTTTCATATTACTTTCAATGTATAAGTCATTTTTTCTAAAAATTCAAGAATATTTTCATAGCTGCATATTTCACTTCTTTTTTTTAGTAACTTGATAAATTTTGGCGTACAACATATGTTTCTATTCAAATTATGATATATATATATA